AGAAAAGCTGCTGGAAGTGCAGAGCCCCTTCCAAGTAGCCAAATGATAACTGCAGCCTAGGATCGTTATCCAGGCCTAAGCCTTAATCAGAAGTGTCTGCCTTTCTCCCTTCCATTTCTTTTGTCAAGTTTCAAGCCTGTCCCTTGTCTGAGAGAAACCTCCCTGCTTTCTGCCCGCCAAAAGGTCATCTGAGGAAGCTAGTTTCATTTGCTGTGGCCCACCTTCTACAACTGCTAAAGAAGAGTTGACATATAGGCTGGTTGACCTGGCACAGGACTGGCTTCAAGGCTGAATTGGCTAATCAGATTCTCAAGACCAGGTGGCAGACCTGATACTGAAGGGCCAGGAAGCCACGGGACTCTATGATGGGCCAGGTTCAGTGTGGGGACAGCAAAAGCCACTAAGAAGAGATAGGACGTTCTGAGTAGAGGGAAAGAATGAAAAGAACTAGCAAGGTTTCACAGATGGTATGTGCAGAGAAAATCAGCAACCGAGGGGAGAGAGACTCTGCATACCTTAAGACGTGGCCAAGGACAGCAGCTTGGGCTGGTGCTATCTCGTTTCTGATGGGTTTTGGGTCCTGCCTATACTTATGACACTAATTTGATTGAGGAGAGAAATTTATCTCTTAGCTGTTGCCAGTAGTAGTCCGTCAGACCCTCCTAGCCTGTTGGTAGTGAGTAGCCTTCATCATATCTCAGTCCAGTTTCATAATTTGCAGGTCACTTACATGAACTTAGCCTAGATCCATGTTTTCTAGCAGCTCTGGAGATAAAATTCACATACTATGCAACTCGCCATTTAAAGTATACTTTTCAATGGTTTTCAGTACATGCAGATTGTGCAACCAATACTACAATTTTAAGACATGTTCATCATCCTAAAATGAAATCCTGTACCTTTTAGCGGTCATCTCTCTACTTCCCCTCAGACCTTCCAGTCTTAAGCAACCATCAATTGTTTTCTGTTTCTATATATTTACCCCTTGAGGCATTTCATGTAACTGGGATTATACGCGAAATGGTCTTTGTGACTGGCTTCTTTCATATAGCGCAACGTTTTTAAAGTTGACCCATGTCGCATTATCTATAAGTACTTCATTCTTTTTTAAAGCTGGATTGTTTTGCATTGTGTGGACACATTGCACATTACATTTTATTTCCCAATTCATCAATTTCTGGACTGGTTGTTTCCACTTTGTGACCGTTATGCAAAATGCTGCTGTTAGGAACATTTGTGTAGATATTCTTGTGTGGATATATATACTTTCATTTCTCTTAGGTACATACCCAGGAGTGGAATACTGGGTCATACTGTAACTCTATGTTTAACATTTCAAAGAACTGAAAGAGATAGTCCAATTTAAAATTCTAACATTGTATCTTTTTCAAATCCCTCTCCTTCTCTCAAAAATAGGCTAAATTTGTGCCCCTTCTGTCTTAAAGTGAGGGACTGAAATGTCCTCATTCTCAGTTTGGTTCAGTCTCCTGTCAGTGGTCTCTGATAAAGGCCAGACTCCCATTGCTCTGGATTCTTTCTGTCCTGCATTGCCTGAAGCCATAGTAATTGTTGGCATCTGTGATAATCCCTAAGGACTCAGGGGCCTGGAATGAGGGAATGCCTCTATCTTCTTTGTCCATAATCCTATAGCCCTTCACACCTTCTGGGTTTGAGACACCAAGTGAACTTTCACCTTCAGAAACTTCAGGCAAGAAGCAGATGTTCATTTCTGTGTGACAGACTCTCAGACATCAGGGATATGTGTTCATCACTCTCTCCCTCTCCCCATAAATGAGAGAGAAATAGGACTATATACATTCTCTCTAGGCTCTCCAAACCTTCCCCCTGTCTCTCATGTCTTCCTCTTTTAATTTATCAGTGCTGAAGTCCAGTGGGCCAGTTCAGTCTCTCCCATCCCACTCCCTTCTCATTTCTTGCCTCCTACCACTTGCTCTGAAAGACCACTGGAGGGCTTAGGCCTTACTTAAAGTTGACCCTGCAGGAGCTATTTTCCCAAATAGTTCTTTATTATTCAGTAACATGGGTTAGGGGAAACTGAGGAAGGAAAATTATTTAATTAATGCCCAGTATAAACCCATTACACTTTAGTTTGGGAAGTTTTTCTCTGTAAATGAGCTAAACCTAGACTGCCATCTGTCCAAAAACAAAAAGTATCTCAGTGGCCAGAACTTCAATTCAAACATTTCCTCCTGTCACTTGGAGACCAGGCCTAACTGAGCAGGTAGAGAGCAAGTGCGCAGCTTATAGTCTGACTGAGTGGCCGGCCTACAGGCCTTGGTTGACTATGACATAGGGAGGCTCATTTTCGGGCTGCTTCCATGTGGACTCCTCCTCTCTCTGTCCCCAGCTGCTTATGACTTTCTCCCCATCCAGGAACCCCCTGTATACATTTTCAAGTGAAGAGGTTAGATATCACTCCCTGTTACCACACTCGTGATAAACTTGGTTTTCTGTCTTTCTGGTGAATGCACATGCCCTCTAGCAAAAATTTCTCAAAAAAATATATATTTTTTTAAATTAGAAACTTACATAAGCTCTTTGCTAAGTTCTTAAAACATTATCTTGTTATTTTTCAATGCTCTAACTATATCCTCCATTACTGATTTTTAAAAAATTATTTCTAGGGATCAGCAGGTGGCATGATGGTTAAGATGCTAGACACTCCCACATGGTAGACAGCGGTTTGAGTCTTAGACCTAGTGGCTTGTTTTCTCACTTTCCCTCTCTCCCTCCATCTGCGTCCCTTTCTGGTCAAATTTTAAAATAAGTGAATGAACAAATAAAATAAATAATTATTTGAAAAGAAAATGTAAGTAAAAAAGAAGAAACAAACAAATAAAAAATGACCTGGGAGTCCTCCATCCCAAAATACCCTCTTAACTCTTTGGTATCTACCTCTCTAGTATATTTTTAGGCATACAGATTTATAAGGCAGGATAATGTGCTGATGCATTACGTTGAATTTATTTGGGCCCCATTAGAAAATACCTGGGCCTTCCCTTGCTCCAAGATGAGTCTTTGTATTCCCAAACCTAAAAATGTGGAGAAACAAAGCTGAGCAGCCCAAAGGAGAATGGAGAGGAGAGGTGAGCTGAGCCAGAGGAAGCTTTCTGAAGAGAGGGGGATGGAAAGAGTTGAGAGTACTTCAGTCCTAAAGAGGGACAGGAATTCTGGTGGGGTCAGGGTGGCGAGCTTGGACTTCATATATACTGAACTCTCAGAGCTATTCAGGGGGCACTTTATCCTTCCACAGTCAGTCACTGTGTGGCCAGGGAAGGAGAGTCATGTTAGAGCATGGCAATACCCACTCAAACCACATGACCAGAACCACAGCTAGCCTCTATCCTTGTGGTCTAGGCAGTCACTTCTATTTGTTGCACTATAACATTCATTCTTTCTTGTTTAAAGGTTGATATGCAAAGAGTATGCAAAATGAGTAGGAGAAGAGAGCCCTGCTTTGTCAGAAGAAAAACAAGAAGGCAGGGAAGGCTTAGAGGTAAGGAATGGAGAGAGAACAAATAGAATTAGAGAACAATTAGAATTAGTTTTCTGGCTCAGAAGAAGAAAAACAAGAAGGCAGGGAAGGCTTAGAGGTAAGGAATGGAGAGAGAACAAATAGAATTAGAGAAATGTGGCTCCGAAAACTATCCTGAGAGTTCAGGCCCCATCTCTGTCGATTCCACCCTTATGAACCCAAGAGGAATAGGGAGGGAGTAGGATGGGAATTGGTCATCCAGATCTGCTCTCAGGTGGCCTCTTCCCACCTGGTTTTAATCTCACCACTAACTGCTTCGTGGAATGGCAGAGCCACAGAGGCCTGACTTCAAATACAGTCATGTAGCTAAGGAAACCTTGCTTTATCTTGACTCTGTTTTCACGTGTGTAAAATGGATCTAATGGTATTTAGTTGCTCTGAGAATTAAATGAGGTACTATAGAGGGTTGAATAGCTCCTCTCTCCTCCAAAGTGTATCTATCTGGAATCTCAGAATGTGACCATATTTGGAAATAGGGTCTTTGAAATGTAATTAGTTTAGATGTGGTTATGCTGGACTATGCCAGTGCTAACCCAGTGGCTATGTCCTTAAAAGAAGAGGAGAGGACATACAGAGAAACACACAGGGAAAGACGTCATGTAAAGATAGATTGGAATAATGCAGCTAGAAGCCAAGGAATGACAAGGATTGCTGGGAGCTGCTGGAGAGGAAGCTAGGAAGAGGAAACAAGGAAGAGCCAGGGAAACATTCTTGCCTTTCTGAGGGAGTGTGGTCTTGTGATACCTTGATTTAAACACTGAGATTCCAGAACAGTGAGAGAATAAAGATCTGTTGTGTTGAGCACCCAGTCTGGGGTGAGTTGATATAGGAGCCCTAGGAATCTGATGAAGTTCCCAGCACCTAGCTTGGTCCTGCTGGTATGCCTCTGAGTATGCACCAGCTACCTGCATGCAGAGAAGTGATGCTGAAAGCAAAACCCAAATTTCCCAATAGGCTTGGCTTCTATCAGTTCCTCAGAAGCAGTTCTGTTTTAAATGACCTTCATGTTACAGGAAAGCCTGAGCTGGATGACCACACCTTTTCTTCTCTTGCTGATATAGTTTAACCCCAAATTCTGATGATATTTGTGTTACCCATCCTTGTATGTCCCCTCTAGAAGAAATCCTGGGGCCAGCCAGTGGCCTAGTGGTTAAGGGAGGAAGATCTCACATGGTCATGAGTCCTGACCCCAGTGACTTGAAAAATACACCAGGCATGTGGATGTGCCTTTGCACAATCCCAAAGGGATTTTGGAGAAATGGAGAAGGGATTGCAGTGTGATCATACTCCATTGGGGGGCGCTTTCTTTCTCTCCCTTTCTGTTTCTGGAGAGCACAAACAGCCCCTGGGGAGAAAATAAAGAAAAGAAGAAAAAAATAAAAAAAATCCTGGGTTGGAGCTACTGCTTGTTTATGGTTTTGGTTTTGGTTTTAGCTGTTAATTTTGTTGGCTTCTATAAGGGACTCTCACACAAACAGCAACTGTTTGTTGCCTTTTCTTTTGCTTCTTGGCCTGAGGAGCTGTGCCAAGCACCCATGTGAGTACCGAGTGGGTTGAGATTTTCTCATACATTGAGGGTTTGTGTTATAGGCTGCTACGAGGCTGCCACAGTGGGGGAGTGTGGGTGTGCCTTCTCTCTACCACATTTGAGTCAGGAGAAACTGCCTAAGAATTGGTGCTTAGGGGCTCAAAAAAGCTAGTTTCCTCCTGTTGCCCAAATAGCGGGATTTCTGTCCCTTGTCCTCATGCCCTCTGTTGTAGTGCTGTTCTATAAGGTGAGATATTTTCTGCACCAAAAATGTGCAGCGTAGAAAAATTTCACTATTCTTGAGATTGTCTCTGAGCTAAGAAGGTTAATGGGTAAAAACTTCAAAATGTGTTTTCCTGCAACTGACATCTGTTTGTGATTTTTTTTCTTCAGCAGGCAGTCAACACCAGGCTGGCCTGTGTTTACCACTATGCTCTCAGAGTCAGCTTTAGGAATAAAAACATTTGTTCATTAACTCTCAGAAATCATCATTATTTGGCAAACACATGATCTGGTGACTATTAAAGGCTTATTTTTATATATACAACAATCAGAGAAAGGATAGTAAAATTAAAGAAAACTGTAATTATTGCTATTTACTGCTCACCACCTGAGTACACATATTATGAAGAAAGAAACATTTAAAAGTTTGTAAAAAAATGAAAGTACAAGTTTATTTTGGTGCAAAAAATTTTTAAATCCATGCATAGTTTTGTTGTTATATGCATTTTCTGAATTTTTTGAAGTTTCCTTTCAGATGAGAGAGGGCAGTGGAGTCCTGTGGAAGGGAGTGGAGGTGGAGAGTGAAGCAACAGATTGCCTATTAACTGGAAGTTGTTCTAACCCTGATGTTCCAAGGCTCTGTGGAAAGGAATGATAATACAAACTGCCAAACTGCAGAGCAAGAATGTTTTTAACCTAGTTTTTTTTTTTTTTTTTTGGAGAGGCTTTCGCTATAGGGCGCGTGCGCTCGCCAGACAGACAGAGACAGAGACAGAAAGCGAGAAATCACCCCCCAGGGGGGATGGTCACGCCGCAATCCCTTCTCCTCCATTCTCCTCTCAGGATCTTGGGCACACACGCACACGTGCCCGGCGTGAGTTTTAAGCCACCGGGTCCAGGACGTGAACCGCGGTCGACTACGTGCGAGTCCAGCGACATAGCCATTATGCTAACTGCTGGTTCCCCAGAGCAAGAATGTTTTATATGAGCAATAATGAGACAGTAGTATCAGGAGTCGAATATTAATTGACCTGATTCTCTCCAAGCTCCCATCTAAGCCTAATATTCTGTGAACAATATTGCTGTAGCTACTTTGCTACTCAGAACCCGGTCTATTCTCCTTCATTACCATACTGATGAGTCTTGCTCTTGCTTTTCTTTGTCTGCCACTTCACAATGCCTTCTCAGATTTCTCCTAACTGTAAGCCATTCCTTTGAACTGGACTTTGGAGACAAAGACCACACTGTTAAGGCCCTCTGAATCCCACCTACCTTACACAGTGCCTGGTAGCACACACACTTGTCCACTGGGTGCTTGTGGAATTTTATTTGATGAACTGCAGTTCACTGGAACCACAATGTTTGTGTAATATGAATGGGGCAGTTTGGGGTTGATTTGAGAAGCAGACAATGCAAATGTCCTCTGGGTCATACTTCAGAGTCAGTTTGCTTTACAAGGGATTGGTCAGCTACCCATAAATTGCTGTATACCATTTTTGTTCAATGTGCTGACATCCAAATATGCTACATGCCATAATTGTTGTATACTTGAGTTACCTTATAGAGAGGTCACTGAGTTCTGATCTTGCTCTACTGCATCTGGGCTCCCTTACCTTCAGATCAACTTACAGAATCCCACAGTGGATAAAGGAATCTGAAAGGTTATTTATCTCCAGTAACCACTGATGGTTTTCTGCTGTCTCAAACATGCCTATGGGCAGATTTCTTTGCAACTTCTCTGTTATTAACCACCCCTGTATTGGGGGACTTTCCTCCATTGGCTTAGAGATGCTGCTATGACAGAGCTTCTCATATCCTTCAAAGCACTTATCTCTCTCTGCCTTCTTTGCTGGTCCTCTCTTCAAATTTAAGGTCATTCTTGAGTTCAGACCTTTTTAAAATCTCTCTTTTTATATTCTTCCCCTGAGACAGCTCATTCATTTCCCAATAACAGCTAACATATCTATAACATAACTTCTTTATTCATCTTTATTTCTAGCCCTAAAATGTCCCAAACTCTAGACCTACATTTTTCTGTCATGTTTTCCATTACTTTATGACTCAAATCTGGCTCATTATCTTCTTTCTAAAGTTAACTCTTCATCTTATATCCTCCAACCTCCACCTCACACCTCCAATATTGTCTTGACGGTTTAGCCTTAAAACCATAATCAGTTTTGCTGCTTCTCTTTTGCTCTTCTATGTGGCTGATTCATTATCAATTGTTTTATCAATTGTCTTATAAGAAGTTTCTCCTTCCACCCCTTTGCCTTCTTTTTCTGATCCTAAGTTAGGGCCTAATATCTAGATGAATAGATGACCCACTATTTGAGTGACTGACTTTCAATTCCATCCCTGCCTCCAATTCTATTCATAAAAAGAAAATCAGATTTAATATTTTTTAAACGTGCTTTTGGTATTGTTACTCAGTTTTTGAGTGATTGTCTTTATCTTCCCATTGGCAGCTCCGCCTGACATTAGCCCTGGACATTCTCATTTCAACTTAAATTTATGGCCAAATTAGTCTGTTCATTGGCCTGTCAACACCCCTGTGCATTTGCACCTCTGAGACTTTGCTTCTATCATTGGCAGTGCCCTCTAGAATAGCGTCAACTTTCCAGATCTTCTACTATACTTCAAAGGCCCAGTTTGTGTTCCACCTCTTTGGAAAGTCTTCCTGCCTCTAACTGACTTCTGGGGTTTTTGCATTTTATCACTCTTTTTACATCAGTTCTTACTATTTTTCATGTATATGAGTTTTAACCTTTTTTTAAACTATGTCATAATGTCTTTTAGGGGTGGGGGCCCTTTTTTGGATGAGTTCTATGAATTCACAGTACAGTATAAAGACTTGCCAAAAGTAGGAGCTCAGCATTTAGTGACTGGAAAATTGAAATGTAGTTAGTACTCAAATGGCTCATTAAATTGAGTAGAACAGTATTTTAAGGCCACAGGTAGTCCTATGCAGCAGATGGATTAGAGATCAAAAACTTATACTGAAAAACTACTCATATAACCATGAAGCAGAGCCCTGGCTCTGAGATCCTCCTAAAAGCTCAAACATCTATAGGGACTGGCAGGTAACAATAATATGTAAATACAGCTAGTATAATACAATACAACAAGAGTAGAAGGACCTGGAGCAAACTTTGTATTACTTGCCCAAAGACATTCCAATTCAAATTATTAAGACATTGTTAATTTGGGGGCCAGCAGGTGGTGTGATGATTAAGGGCACTGGATTCTCACATGGCTGACCACAGTCCTGAACCTGGCAGCTTGCTTTCTTGCTTTCTTGCTTTCTCTTTCTTTCTCTCTCTCTGTTCCTATCTGGTCAAATTAAAATAAATAAATAAAAGAGATAAAGTTAAAATAAGTCTTTAAAAAAATTGTTAATTTTAATTCATTGCTTGGACACTGTTTCAGAAACAGTGGTTAATTCACCCATTTCAGTTCAGTTTTGTGTGTATTTACCTAGGTCTTCATAGGTGATCAGAGTTGTTCTAGACCCTTAAGAAGAGGAAAGAGAAATAAAATAATCCTTTATTATAGTTATTGATTTATTTATTTTTAAATTCACCAGAGGGCATGTGTACTCACATGACGGAGAGAGGGAGAGAAAGGAAGTGCTCTCCAACGGGACATGGTCATGCCACAATCCATTCTCCTCTATTTGTCCGTCCTTACAGGATTTGGGGCCATTGCTGGACATGTGGCTGGCATGTTTTTCAATATGCTGGATTCAGGACTTAAACCATGTGGTCAGCCATATGGGATCTGATTCCCTTAACCCCCAGATCACAGGGCCAAAACCATGCTGAGTATTCTTTTCTTTTTTTTTTTAAAGAATTAATTTATTTAACTTTATTTATTTATTTATTTTAATTTGAGCAGAGAAAGGCAGAGTGAGAGAGAGAGAGAAAGTGAGAAAGCAAGCCTCCAAGTCTGAAACTCAAACCACAATTGGCCATGTGGGAGTCCAGAGCCCTTAACCACTGTGCCACCTGCCAGCCCCATGCCGGTTATTCTTAACAAAGGCATGTTTTGGGACCAGCAGTTAGCGTAATGGCTGTATTGCTGAACTCCCATGTAGCCGACCATGGTTGAAGTCCCGGACCCGGTGGCTTAAACTCACACCAGGCACGTGTGCGTGCGTGCCCAAGATCCTGAGAGGAGAATGGAGGAGAAGGGACTGCAGTGTGGCCCCCCCCGGGGGGGGGAGGGGTGATTTCTTGCTTTCTATCTCTCCGTCTCTCTCTGTTTTTCTGGAGAGCGCACACACCCTATAGCAAAAACCTCTAAAACAAACAAACAAACAAAAAACAAAGGCATGTTTTGTAGGGACCAGTAGTTAGCATAATGGCTATGTCGCTGAATTCCCACTTAGTCCACCACAGTTTGAGTCCTGGACCCAGTGGCTTAGACTCATGCCGGGCGTGTGTGCGTGTATGCCCAAGATCCCGAGAGGAGAATGGAGGAGAGGGGATTGTGGTGTGGCCATCCCCCCTGGGGGGTGATTTCTCGCTTTCTGTCTCTCTGTCTCCCTCTGTCTTTCTGGAGAGCGCATGTGCCCTGTAGCAAAAACCTCTCCCAAAAAAAGGAGAAAACAAAGGCATGTTTTGCTGATTCTTGAGATTTTCATAGACTGTCAATGCCTCAATTATTCTACAAACCAGAGAATTCCTTGAAAGCATTATCTGTGCCATATTTACCTCTATGTACTACAGCTTAGCACATAGTAAATGCCAAGTAAATATTTTGAATGAAATAAAGAAAACAAATAATTA